CTGGGGAATTCTGGGAGTTGAAGTCCACACATGCCAAGGTTGAGGAACCCTGTCATATCCCCTCAGTGATCTCTTCTCTAAACCAAAAGAACTCACCTGTTTTTATTTCTTTGAACAAACATTCATTCCTCAGTAAAGTCCACATACCACCCGTTACCTTTTTGCCAGCATTTATATCTCAATATTTCTCCTTCCCTTTTCTCATCTTTAGCCAACATCCCACAAAGGTACATAAATACCCTCATTTTTCAATGTTTCTGTACAATCTGCAATGTTTCACTTCATTTTCTGTGCCTAACACAACCGCCTTGGCCTTTGATACATTCATTTTCAAATCCATACCACTCACTGCCTTGTGCAATCTAACACTTGCTGCAGTCATTTGGGTTCCCAGTCAACAGTACGGTGCAGGAATACATATGCATTCACACTAAACCAACACACCTCTAGCATCACCACAACCATTCCTTATGCTTTTACCTATGCACACATTAAACAACCAAGGGGACATCGTCCATCCTCGTTCATTCTCTCCTCACTCAATTCTAACCTATTTACTAAGCTCCTTGCTCAATTCTGACCTCTTCTCTTGCAAGCTTGATTTCCATCGTTTAACTTAATTAATTTTATTTAATGCATTCAGCAACCAACTTTCAACTCCACATTTCTGCAAAACATTCCATCAGTCAAGCCTATTCACTTTATCTCACACTTTCCCTAAATCAACAAATGTTCAGTAAACTTTCTCACATCCATACATTTCTCAGCGACCTGCTGAAAACCAAAAATCTGGTCTGTATTCCCCCTGCCGAGTAGAAAGCCACACCACATTTCCCAAATTTTAGCTCTTCTATGCTTTCAAGCAGGATTCTGCCAAGGCCATCTCAGGCATGCTTAACACACTAATTCCGCTGTAGTTTTTGCATCCTTTCTTGCTACGTTTTCCTCTGCACAGAACAACAGCAGCAGAATTTTTCCAGTTGTCAGGCTGAGATGCAGTTTCCACATACACATTCAAGTTACGCCACCACTCCATAAGCCAAGCACACCTGTGCCACGCTGCTTCTCCTGTTACACCTTCTACGCCTACAACCTTACCATGGTTCAACATTCTCATAGCACTTATGAGTTCCTTTCCATCAGTTTCTCCTTTTGACATGCATATTGATAGCATGGGGGATGTCATTCCACCTGAAATTAGATTAGCGCTGACCTTACTGGCCTTTCGTAAGGCCCTGGAAACTTGGTTTTGTGCCCAAGTCTGGGGCCTTGGGTGTGCAATGGAGCCCCCCCCCGCCCCAGTTTTGTGGATGGCTGTTCTTATGATGCTCAGCTGCTATGTGTTTGCTTTTATATTGTGTATTTTATCTATTTTATTGGAAGCCACATATGAGAGAGGGGTGGCCATTTAAATCTAATAAACCCGTTTCAATTCCAATTTTACATCCTTTGCAAATATGGTAATCGATCCCTCCATTTCTTCACCCAAATCACTAATTAAAGTATTAAAGAATAGAGGACCCAGGACA